GCATGTGTACCTTATATTTTAGTGAAGTAATTAGTGTGAGTGTACACGGGTATGCAGGAACTAATCAGAATGAAAAATCTTGTTGACTAGCAGAGCTTTTGAAGATTTTGAATTTTTATATAAGATCCTCTCTTGAAAGAGTTAGCTAAATAGTCAATGCTAAATTGATAAAGGGAGCATGATTAAAAGAAAGATCATTGTCATTTCTTGGTTGGATTTTTGGACTGAAAGATAACATTTTTGAGTGTAGTTAAAAATATGTATATTGCAATCAAGGCCTTTTCAGTGCAAATTTATTTATATTGTATATAAGCAGACTTAATAATATGAATATACTGTATTTTGTAAATCTGTGAATGAAATAAGCTTTTAAAAAAAGATATTTAACATTACATTTAATTTAACATTACAGGTTTCTTTAAGGTACCCATAGGCACTACTTCAAAAAGACCATTGTGACATCATACCAGCTCCCTAAACAAGTACAGGCATCCCACAGATCAGTTCAGGTATAGGGCTTTAATTGTGATGACTTGACTGACTGAAATGATTGGTCTTTGCATCACAGTTGATGTGATGACATCACCCTAGGTATCAAGAACATTATCTTATTTTAAGTCCTGTAGCTTAAGATATTAAAGGAGGAAAAAATTAGCTAGGAAAACATTGTTTATATAATGTAAGTAGAATTATGATTAATTAACTTCATAGTAACAATAATACACATATATACTGTTACACAATACTTAGAGTTTGATAGGATGTAAATAACTTTTAACATTTTGATTTGCTGTTTTAATTGTTCTGTTTCTGTTTTATGCTTTGTTTTTCAAGGTTTTCTTATTACATCCCTATTTCCATTACACTACACTTATATAATAGTATTTTGAGGTTGTGATCACATCAAGAGATCAAGTCAGTTGTTACTGTGCTAAAAAAGCTGAATCTAGATTCTTTTGTATGGCTATTTCAACAGGGTCAAAATTAATTTGTTCCTCAAAGTATTGTAAAATGCAATTTAAGTTTTGGAAAAGAACCAATACCATAGTTTCTAATAATATCCTTTAATACTATTAACATCCTTTTGATTACTTTTCATATTTTCTTATGCAGAACTGAAGGTGTTCTGTTGAAGAATGTCATGGTCTAAAGTCCATCGGGAACCGTGTAAGCATTATTTTGGTCTGTGATCAAAACTGCTGTTCTGTAACCTCATGTGTGTGTTAGTAAATGATGTGCATTAATCATGTGGTTATTGAAGACTGCCATACACACAGATCCATGAAATTCTAAAAGCTTTCCTAGGCTTTTTAAAGGAATGTGATTCTTAAAAAAAAACTGATAAACAGTTTTTGCTAGCTGTCAAGTAAAAGTTAAACAGAAATGCAAAAACTGAATTAAGCAGTGAAGAAGGATAAAATTCGATGTCTGCATCTTCCAGATTCTAAACTGAACTCACAACATGCCTGAGTAACTTCTTTTTGGACTGTCCACTTGTTCCCTTCAGCTGCACATATCCATTTCAAAACATTTGTTCTTGCCCCCTGCTTTCTGAACCATTCCTCTCCAGTCTTTCCCTTGACTTAATCTTTCTCTCCAACCCCCCACCCCAGCTCCATCAGAGTCTACACCTCCCGGGCCTGCTCATTCCTGACTCTACAGTGACGGAGTGACCTTCCCACTGAAATCAGAACTTCCTCTCATCACCTTGTGCCACCTCCTCAAAACTCACACTGCCAACTCTTACCACAATCTATCTCCCCTCATTGCCAACCAAAGGCCTTGTCTACTGTGACCAACAATTCCTAATTTATGTTTTTAACCACTCGATGGACATTGTTTCATCTTACTTACCTTCTTCTCCTGTATTTGAATTATTTCTTGTCTTACTTTTACTTTAAATATTTTGCATTATAGTAAGTTACCTTAAGTGGAGTCTGCAGTAAGCAAACATGTAATAAGTGTGTATCAAACTTGGACTCAGAACTGTTCTGCTGAAAATATCAAAGCAAGCACAAGAAAATGAAGTTTATGGTGAGACTGTGATCACAATACTGAAGATGCACCATGACACCATGTAAGAAACAAGAAGACCGTTAACCTGCTGTTCCCCCAGACTCTAGAAGCAGTACTCGACACCTCAGCTGTGAAGACAAAGGGCTCTTGGACATTCATGCAAAGATCAACTCTAATCTAGATGCCATGGAGATTGTACATATAGGGAATGAACTTGAAAAAGTATTAAGAGAAGACCCCTACAATGTAAAGGCATTGTATACCAAGGCAAAGGTCTGATTATATCCTTTTTATCCTATCATTTAGAATTGTTTTATTATTGTGAAGAAGCTGCCATGCTTATTTTTACATCAAAGTAGATGAAATTTCAAAATCTTTTAGCATGAAGTTATTCAAAATTCTACAAAATATACAAGCAATCTTAAAATGAGCAATAAACTATAATGTACATGTTAACATAACATAAATAAGAGCAAGACAAAGTCATTGCATTGTGATATAACTTTGTCTTTGTGGCCATGGCAACCACGAGGAGAATCATAGGTATAGGTGTATTCTTAGGCAGAAGAGAAACCTCTACAGACATTCTAATCAGCTGTAAAGTGCAGGAGGTCTGATAAAAGCTATTAAAAGCCCTAGGCACAGAAACCATTGACCGTCTCCTACTTTCTCTTCATTTGTACTCATGTTATTTTTAACTACATGAAAATTGTACATCATGGAAATCACCAAGGACATTTTGTTTTACCTTAACAGATACTTCTGAAACAAGACAAAATAAAGGAAGCTTATGCTGTATTAAAAATTGCTCTTTGTGTCTTTCCAGAGAGCAAGGTATGGATGAAACATTTCTTTAATTGTTTCAAAGCCACCTTTCTGTATTTTTTTTCTGTCAGAACGGTTGTAAGGATTTACACATCCCTTCATTGAATTTCAACATCATGATTATCTTAAGTGAAGGACAGCTCCTTACAAAATGTCCATAAAAAAGTCACTTTTAAAGTTTTGAGGTCAAAGTTTACTGCATTACATCTTTCTGTAGTAAAAGAATTCGGTTAGTTTCCCAATTACATTAACTTTAAAATACTTTGAAAACATGTTTTGAATTGTCTACAGGTTATTGAGGATGAAATCATCAATTTACGAGCAAATTTTCTGCTTCCAAATAACTGCAAACCCAAAACCCTCCTACAGAGAGTGGGTTCAAAGATCACAAAGGGAGTCATGAACACAGCTTCTAGAATCTCTGAGGCTGCACAGGTGAGAGATGTTCACAATACACTCACAGCAAGCTAGAAATGTACAGTTAACAGTAGATTCCTAGTGTTCCCCAGAAATTCACTTCAAATTGTAAAGTGTTTTTGTTGATATATAGTTTGTGGTCACAAAGTTTCATTTCAAGTATTGCTTTAATTTTTAATAATACTGTATATTCTAACAGGAGAAATGCAAGAAAAAAATGTTCCTCTTTTCCTTACAGATAAACATCTCTTTGTCAACAGTGATGAAGACCACAGCAGTCCTTGCTGGAGGACTGATCTTTGGGTATTACCTTTATAAAAAGATGTAGGGTCCATATTCTGTCCTGCTGCCAGTGCTGGGGTTTCTATTTTAAAGCCTTCCACCAGGCTAAAATTCAGACTGCTGGCACCATACTATCTAACCATCTAGGAGAGCTTTCATGATCCCAGATATGCTGTCACCCCCCCCGTCCATGTGAAGCAATCATCTCACAGAATGTTCCTCTTTACCTTCAGTTTGCCTGGAGATTTAGATGAGAGGGACTGATCTCCGTGAAGCGTCACACTCCTTGCACTCATGGAAGAGTGCATCTTTCATGTCTGGATCAGGCTATAGGAAATAAGAACATTTCTGTGGCTTTCTTGCCTGACTTACAGGGTAGCAGTTGGTATGAGTGAGCACACGTTTTGTGCATTTGCATAGAATGAAATCTTTCAGAACATTCTACTTATTGATTAGGGAAGAGAAACTTGTGCACGAGGAAGTGAGCATGCTTTCTGAGCACTTGCATGGAATGAAGTAATTTTTCAGAACATTCTGCCTATTGAGTAGGGAAGAGAAGCTTGTGTACTGGGAAATTATCTCATGTGGTATTCTGATAAAAAATGAATAGATCTCGATGGTTCTCACTTCATTTCCCTTGTAGAGAATGAACTTCCACGGCACATTACAGGAGATGACAAAAAGCTGGTATAACATTTTCAGCACAAAACTTTCCTGCACATACCTCAGACTGGCAGACAGAAATATGGAACAATTAGAATAATAAAAATGACTGAAATTAATATTAAAATGTAGCTTTTTTTTTGCTGTGTGCATCAATAGGTGACTGTTTACAAAAAAGTTAATTGATCTATGATCACATTAAGAATACTGTAATAAACTATAGATACATCTGTATTCATTTAGTGTAGATTACATGATTTTTTATATTTGAAATGAAATAAATTTGAGAATTATAAATGTACTTTACTTTATAAAATATAGTAAATAAGTTAGTCTGGAAACTAGTAAGCATTCAACTAGGCAGTGGCCTAGGATTTTGTTTGCTGTTCTAAGAATAAGTACAGTACTGGATACAGTGCAAGTCGCAGTTAAATTAAAAAAAAAACACAAAATGAAATGAGAGTGTAGATCAGACTGTCAACTGAATGAAAATATACATTTTAGCATATAAGCAGTTTTAATTACTATCTCTAGGTAACAATACCTGAAATAAAGAATTAAAAAAAAGAATCTGTTTCCCCAAATTAAATATTTATTAAATACAGTGTCTAGTTTAGGGGTAATTTCATTGTTTACATGTAGGAGCAGTTTTCAGAAAAAAATGGTTTGTTATATTATGATTCATTTTTTAAAATAAGCATTATAAAATTAAACAACTTTTTCATCTTGTATATTGTCTAAGAACAGCCTTGTAAGGTCTAGAGGCCCTAAAGAACTAAAACATTTGAATAAAATCAAGTGTTTTGGACCAAACAAAATCTCAGCAAATGTGAGCACAAATACAGCTGCAGCTAGCCATCAAAGGTTGACTGGTTGCTCTTGTCAGCTGTCGATGTAATTTGGTGAATTGGTCCCGTGGGTATTCTACTGGAGTTTGTCAGGGGAAAAAGCTGGCATTGTTTACTTGAAGACATGCCATTGTAATCCTGGCACTGTAGGTCTTTCATTGCCCTGATGGAAAATGACACTTTTGAATTGGCTTGCAGGAATGGAATAACAGCTGGATCAAAGACTTTGTTGATCTATAACTGTAGTAACTATCATCTGTCTGCACCTAATGTGGAGAGGAACATTCTTTAACACAACACATGTCATCACTTCCTCTGTCCTACTGGGTAGCATGAGCAAATCCAAAGACAACAGCATTCACCAAGACATACACAGTATTTTGTCTTGCATCAGTGTAAAACAGTTCAATGAACAGTAATTCCCACTCTCAATAGGTCAGCATGAATCCCTAAACAGCCTCCAAACACTCAAATAATTGTCATGCAGATGGCAAACTCTAAATCACTCTGCTGAGATGCAGATTATTTCTATTTTGCAATTTCTCATGGCCACCACAGTTTGAAAACTATTATGCAGATGGATCTGCCAATTATAATGGTACCAGGCTGGTTTGCTGGTTATGTGCTTACCAAGATGTAGCTTGTCTTACTCAGAGCCAGCTCTCTGAATTCTCTGCACCAGTAAGCTGATTGTTATAGTAGTACTTCTCAATGCACTATTTAAATAATGCATGTACCCACTGAGATATTGATGTAAGCCTTACTGTACAATGTACATCAGCATTCATTTCATTTTCTAAACTTAAATTTAACTTTTACAATTGGTTGATTTTCCTTTGATGGACTAGTATCCCATCTAGGGGATTGTCTCATGTTGTACCCTTTAGTTGCTTATTCACTCTACACCCTTAAGGATGCAGTAGCTATGGATGATGAAAAGATTAATTTGTTATAGCACTTCTAGCAATGTTTATTCTAGCAATTGGCCTAGCTGTAAAAACCACCATTTTGAAGTTGTATTATGGGTAACATGCCATGATCTTTTGTGCTGGTTTTGAAAACAAAATTATAGATGTGGACTATTCACTCAGGACACAAGTGCGAATCTTAGATGATTTTATAATTTCCTTTTTAATTGCCACTAAGACATGCTGAAGTAATTAAATCTAGTCAGTTTTTCTTGTATTAACAGACAGTCCCAGTTTCCCTCACCAAAAGCATATTATTGATTTTGCCCTAGCTCGAAAGAACAAGTACTGCCTGTTAATGAAGTGTTTGCGTTCATTACACATGAAGAAGGGGGAGGTCCAATTTCTAGATTGTTAACTGCTTTTGGGTGCTGCAGTACATGTGATGCTATGAAGCAGAAGGGTTATATATCTAAAACTCTAGCAAGCATAGCATTTTTTGCATCCAAGAAAGTGACAATTAAAGTTACAGTAGTACAAGGTTTGTCCCCAATGGACAAAGAAGTAAGTAAGAGAAGATCCACCTCACCTGCTCCTGAAGTCCACATGTACAGTATGCAGACCAAGCACATTATGAGATTGCATCCGATCTAAAAGGAGGAAAAATAATGATTAAATATGGCAAAATATCTATTCCTCTTCCCCTGACTACACAAACCTGCAGCACCATAATTAATAAAATCAAGTAGCCTAATCACTCATTTCAAATTCACATCATATCCTAATGCTCCACAAAGTCATCTACAATCCCTATGGTGTCCAATTTCCTGGCACAGTCATTTCCAATGATGCCTGACCCAGAAAAACAGTCATTTTTTTAAGTCAGCCTTAATCAGTTTTCTCTTCTGAAAGCATCACTTTTTGGTGGCATAGGTAACATAGTTGTATCAGGTAATATTGTAACAACTTCAGGTGTCATTTATTCTTTAAAAATGATACTATAATGGTATTTAAATACTACAATCATGTCATTCCCCACAGTCTCCTGGCATGGCCTTGAACAAGTTCTATTTCAAGAAAAATACTTCATCAAGCAAATGACAAAAGAATACTTTGAGCCTATTTTTATATCCAATTTGGCAACTCAGCACTCTGTAATAACTGGTTTTTCCATTACTGCTAGTATGATAATTCACTGATGAGACTTTATGCAACAGGAATTGGGGGTCCATGGATTGAAGCTAATGTTCCTCAGCTTTGTTGTTATTAAGAGCAGGAAACCTATTTCTTTTCAGATACTATACTTCAAGTTCCAGTGATAGTGTACTGTATAGATTTATAAAATGGTGGGCAAAATATCTGCTTAGAGAGAATTCCATGCTTGGAGCATTTTTCATTTTAAAATAAACCCAGAATCATTGATTAGATGCAAATGGCATCTTGAGCATTCCAAATCACTGTTATATTGTAAGACACCCATCTACATCTGCTGTTTTTATAAGTCCAGAATAGTTTACTTTTGTTTAGTCAATTAAAGTAAGCAATTAATCTAACAATTTAGATTTTGTTGTGTACAATAACTTAATTGAAAAGCTTAAATGTTCTATTTAAAGACAAGAAATACATACAATTCAATTCCAAATATGCCTGCAGATAATTTTTTTATATTTATTGTAATAAGCAAGTTTCTTTTAGCTACATTAAAGTTCAGCAGTAGTTTACAGCATCTTATCATATTAAAGAAAGTGTTTTAAGAAATAACAGACAATCTTAAATAGAAAATCCAAGTCTATTTAAATGCAAAGCAGGAACTCGGTGCACAGCAATTTATTGGTTGCAAAGCTTAAGGCTATTTCTCTGGCAGTAGAAATTAATAACTGAAAATGTTGATTTTTCCTGGAAATTAATTGGAAAGAATGGTGAAAGTTCAGGCTACTTCATTCCCAATTGAGCTCTTACTCTATTAGACTAGCAAGCAGAAAGCATATCAGTGGTAGGGTTTTGAAGGCAGAACATGCAGTACAGTAGGTGAGAAAGTATATTTAACCTTTCAGGAGATATATAATCTCTTTGTGTGAACCCGATGAAGGTCAAATATAGCAGTAAACTGCCTCTTGTGGTCTTCATTTTGTGTAAATTTAAACTACAGGTCTAAATTGCATGGTACCTAATTTACAGAATGTGGGTATTACATAGTACTGTACATGGAAATTAGAATCTTTTGTCTAAATAACCATGGGATTATCTATTATAAATGGTGTCACAGGTTAATATCCAGTACAGTAATTGCACATTTATACAGAGATCAACTCATTTTTGCAATTTGAAAATAAAATCAAGTAAACAAAGATGGAGTACCTGGCAATTTATTTAAAGAATCACATGAATTGAGCTCAGGATTTTCTTGTCCCAAGGGACAATGAACAATCAATGAATGAACTACTAAAAAAAAATCAAAAAGCTATCTACTCTATTTAAAAGGTGAATATTATCCTTGTGCCCAATTACCTATTGATTTAAAGCCAAGACTGCTGTGTTTTCAATGTGTATTAGAATACATTTATCTTTTATGATCTGTAGTATAGGCTTTAAACTAAAGTTAGTTAGTACTAATAGCAGATCTAGGAAAAGAGAGCCCCAGGATCAATGTAATGTATTATATTAGAAATATTACAATAAATCTCAAATAAATATTGCACTGGCAATGAGTAAAGTGGTCTGTCTAGTCCCTTCTTCACCTACATAAAATCATTATCAGCCTAATTGTGTTGAGTTTTTGTTTGTTTTAGATAAAGAGCAATAATTAATGGGCTTGAAACAAAATTAATCCATCCAGTTAATGAAGCCCATTTAAGATACAGTACCTAAAAAAGGTGCAATGCCCATTTTTTAGGTGGAGGTCATCTTAACCCTTTTAACCAGTGAAGGCAGCTGAAAGAGCATCCTGGAAAACTGTCATTAGTTTATCACCTAAAAAAACAGATGGACACAATCAGCTAAATGACCTCCCCTCAACTGTTAACATTCTCCCACTTTACTGGCTAGGTTAAGAGGCATTTCTAAATTGTCCCTGGGTTCCTGTCCGTGCGTGTGCCCAGTGATAAGCTGGCATTCTGTCCAGGGGCTAGTTCTGTCTGGCACCATTTGCCTCAGTAACAGCCTCCAGGTTGCCGAAGCTCTTCCCAGGAAGAAGCTGCTTTCCAACAATGGGTGGATGAAAACAGAAGAACAATGAAACACTATCCATTACCACCAACTTATATGACAAGTAGATCTGCAGCTTTAATTTGGTCTAAAAATATCAAACGTCTGACTAAACATATTGCTTTAGTATTTAAGAAGTTGTTAGTTATCTTCAATGCAAGTGTCTTTTTCTGCAACTATAAAATAAGAAGCAGTGCCTGGTACCTCACTAATCATATTTCCTTGCAGGCAGGGTGGTTTGCTTATTGTAGTAGTATTTAGTTTCTGCTTACAGTCTTTTGGCATCTACAGTAACTGCAACCTATTAAACTGGCATTATACTGAATGCCGTGCTTATGCACTCATTCTTCATCTCTCGCATGAAAGGATATTAGGGCCATCATCTAGAGTAGTTCAAACAGTAAAAGCTTTAACCCGATTGCAGGCTGGGCTTCATGATCGTGGGTGCAAGCAAGCAGCGATACACGACTGAGTAGGGTGGGGTTCATTCACTCCTCAATGAGCGCTGAACTCAAGCAGGGCTGTGGAACCCCCAAGATATGAATAGACAGGTAGCTCAAAAAGGGGTGACAGGCTTCCGAGAACTGCAGTCAGGTGGATCCTATACAGAGCAAAGGAGTGATAAGACGAGTTTTCACCGAGCTGAGGTATCTTACACGAAATCCGAGAGGATCGTCGAGAAAGGACGCCAAGATCGCACACCGTAGATTTCTTAACCAGGGAGTTCGCCGCCAACACTAGACAGGCGCTCTTTCTAAACCACTAATCCAAATACTGAGCAGACCATAGCGTTTACCGGTGTGCTTAAATACAGGCTAGGTGGAGATGTGGTGATAAAGGGAGCAGGTGAGTGGTTAGGTAGTTAACCTGGATGTGCGCCTTCTTAAAGGAGCCGGAGTGGAATTACGGGAAACCGTGACAGTCGGCAGAACTGTTGATTCTAAATTCTAAAAACCCAGTAGACTGAAGGGCGATTGACAACAGCCTCCAATTTATACAATGCATTTTGAGCCTTTAGTTTTTTACTAGGGCTCTTTCTTTAAAGCAACTATATTAACCTCTAATCGAGCGCTTTCACATTACATCAAGCCTTTCATTTTCTTTGCTGACTTAGACCTTTGTTTCTAATGGTTTCTGCAAAAGCTTCAAGATAATCTGCCGTTTTGTTCATTCTCAAGGTCAAAGACTCTGTCATTACACAGATTGTGTTTGACTCAATAATGCACTAGCTTTGTAGACATTTGTGCTGGTGATAAATCACACACAGTCAAGGAGGAATAGACACTAATCTCCCAAAAGAAATGATCAAGCCTGTAGAAAATGTATATATGTAATACATGTACAGTAAGTGTTTATGTGCATACCACTGAATATGCGTACACATTAACATAATTGCATTAGCAAAGTTACTATCACCTCACTCACGGCCTGCTGCATGTACTGGATTTCAATAACTGTATTACAGTGAGGATCATTACAGTAGAATGTTGAAATACAGACCTTAAGAACTGATTTACTCTTTATCATATAATTTGAAATTATTTAAGCCTTATTCAATGCTTATTTAAAGGAAATCATTAGATAAGCTTGAAGCTTCATGAATTGGATATAATGTTATGTTTTAATATTTCCGCAAAAAAATGACTAATTGCAGTTTATCAATGGAGTCCTAAGAAAAGTTCACAACTGAAGATTCACTGCATTCTGTAGATTACCCTAAATCTAAGGCCACTTCAAAGTCATGGCCAAACTAGCACTGTGCCATAATAAAACGTAATCCTTACTTAGAAAAGCACAGAATTGTAAAACCAGTTTCTGGCAAATAATAGAGAAAAATTCAGACTACTGAGAAGTTGTGTAAGATGCATTTAAAATGAACAACACTTGAAAACCTTGTTCAGAGATTTTCACCCTGTTTTCTTCCTTAAAACAGTTATACTGTATACAGTACTCTAACACAAAATAAAACATAATAAAGTGTTCCATGGCAGAAGAACATGCACAGCAGTAGGCTTTAAGAATAAGCCTGATGAACGACTGTTTCCTTAAATGCTGAGCTTTTATATCCAATTTGGCAAATCAGCACTCTGTAATAACTGTTTTTTCCATTACTGCTAGTATGAAAATTCAGTGATGAGACTTTATGCAACAGGAATTGTGGGTCCATGGATTAAAGGTAATGTTCCTCATCTTTGTTGTTATTATCAAGAGCAGGAAACCTATTTCTTTTCAGATACTGTACTTCAAGTTCCAGTGATAGTGTACTGTATGGATTTATAAAATGGTGGGCAAAATATCTGCGTAGAGAGAATTCCATGCTTGGAGCATTTTTCATTTTAAAATAAACCCAGAATCATTGATTAGATGCAAATGGTATCTAAAGCACAGAAGCTTGACATAATGCACTTCAATTTAAATTGAAAAACAGAAAGGTTATTTTTCCTGTTAGTCAACCATTGTGTATGTAGATCAGTATAGATAAGTACAAGTACTAAGAGTTCTCTTTCTCATTTATATATGCAAATAGCAGCACTGAAGTAACTAGCACTATAATTACATTACATGACTGAGAGCTTTTTTCTGTCAATGGTTTTGTTATTTAGAATGGTTGAGAGAATGGAGGTAGAGCATACATTTAAAAATACCACATATTTCAAAAGAAATATAGGCAGTGGTATAAAATAATGTTTATTATTATTTAATATATTAATTACATTTATATAGCACATTTAATCCCAAAGGATCCCAAAGTAGTGTTTATACTTCCATTTATCCACCATTCAGCCCAAGTTAAAATAAAATGTGAGGTACTGCAATGTCACTTAAATTAAGAAGAAAGTTTGTGTAGATTGTAAAGGCTCAGGAACAAATTTACACAGGACACATGGATGAGCACTCCTGCACTTCTGATCAGTGCCATTGAATTTGCAGTGACCATGTACTGTACTTAGCGACTTTGTTTAATATCTTAAGAACAAACAACAAAAAACAATATGCACTATCATCATTTATACACTGCAATGATGAACTGTGTCCTAAGTAAACTCAGAATGGAAAATGCCATTCCTAAAAACGTATGACATGTGAGCAAGCTCTGTTCAATCAGTGTAATTTGACCTTTCCTGTTGTGAAAGTGACATGCTGTCTACAGAAAGACCCACACAGTCAATTAAAGTGAACTTGCAGATTTTCTATAGAGCTACATACTAACCACAGGATCATCCCCAGTTAGTACGCTACTTTCAGTATGTTGCAAGAGACCCTCATACTGTAAAATGATCAAAATATTGTTGCAGTATCTGTTTAATCCTTGACAAGGATTTTATGTTTGGCCTCCCTTGTTAGTTAGAAAAACTTCTAACATTTTCATGGTCTTTGATCTCCTGCCCTTTATTTTGAAGCTCATTTGCGGATTAATACTGAAGGGCAAAAACAAAGTGAAGATCAGGTTAAAATTTTCTTTGAAGATTCAAAGATCCTGCTAGAAGGCATAACGAAGAGAAGCCACAGAGAAAAAGCAGTTCATTAGATGGAGGTGACACTCTGCCACTTACAACTGTGGGTTTCTCAAGGTCACGAGTTCACAGATATGTGACTTACGATGATGCAATTTAATTTAATTTTGAAAAAGGAAAATGAGCACATAAACTATATTGTACTTTTCATAACCCATATGTCCTGAGGAGAAAACACTACTTTCATTGTTTCTTTTGAAACACTTTGGATTCCTGACTTGTAGACCTCATATTGTACATTATATCCCATATAGACACATTATTTCTTCATAATAATGGAAAGCAAAAACACACACAAATAGCAGGAAATGTATTCATGCATTTCAGACATTTTCAGTCTTTTCCAGTGTTGTAATTGAAAGGAGTCTGGGCTCTCAACATAAACATCCATTTTTAAATTCTACGCTTAGCTGCACAAGTCATAGTCTTTTTGTTTGGCAATCTAAAAATGAATAGATTTTGCTATTAGTGTTTCTTTGTTACCAGCATTTTCACTATTGTAGCATAATATATGTCTAAGCTTTTATGCTTTTATGTTTTAAGCAACAGATCTTCAGGAACTTGTTTCCTGACTTCAACATGTTATAACATGCATTTCATTTACAACTCTGAAGTAATCTGCAAGTTCATTGTAGTTGACCGTATGGGTCTTTCTATAGACTGTTAGTCACTTGGTGGTAGGTGGTAGGTATTTGCCTAAACAATTAACACCATTTCCAAACCTTTTGCAAAATGCTTTATTTCAGTATGGATTATAAGTAGACGTAAATACCTCCAAATCCTTTAAAATCAGTGATTCTGTCACGGTAGTTAATTTCACACTCACCCTTTCGAGTAGTTAAATTGTGTTTATGGCTTATTGACGTTAGAAAAAATTAAACGCACTATTAATTTTGCTGTCTCCTGCACTAGAAAGTGTTTAATTGTAATGGATTAGGGAAGTTAATTAGGAAAATACTCATGGATCCAAATTAAATTGCAACATCAATGTATCAAAAACTTGGGGAACTGTTTGTAGAATGCATTTGTTTTCTGAATGAAGATTTGGAATTTGTGAATAAAGGATCCAGCTTTTTACTGCCAAAATACAAATGTGGCACATATTTTAAAGATTAAACGGTTAGTAAATAGAATTTTCATTCTCAACATATCCAATTTCCTGATATAAAGACGTCTTTCAGGTACCTCCGTTCACATTTATGCTTAATTGAAAATAAAATCGGATCTGATTTCACGGGAACGTCTTAACATTGAATTCACTCTGCCTGTGGTTGCTATGGTTGCTATAATGGTTACAGGTCAAGGGCAGATCCCAATCCAAACAGGCAATGAAATTGCACTTAGTAATAAAACATCTTTTAGAAGATTAAGCAATATTCTAAAATTATATTCTTAAATTTCAGATATCTTATGCTTTCCTGTACATACAGTATACCTATGTTCAGAATTACTGGGAATGTTCAAAGTATTTATTCCTGTGTAAGCATTTACTTCAAAATTAGAAGGCCATATGTTGTTGTTTTTTCTAGTTTATAAACTGTCATGTAATCTTAGCACTTTTATAGGATGTTAGCAGTGTTCCTATATTCACAGTCATCTCTTCAAATGTCTTAGATACCCCAGAATTACAAGCACCTACTGTAGTTGCATTTTCTGTCTCATAACATTTTTAAACATTGTTAGCTGGACCCCTTGTCTATAGGTTTATAAGATATGCAGAACCTTCCTTTGATTGTCAGTACTGTTGCTTGTAATATGATTTTCTTTTATGCCACAACAGTCTAGTAAGAATTGGAGCTCAACACCTGTAAATAGATGTGTATCTGCTGTTTAGACCCTCATCTCCATTTTCATCTGTAGTAGTTTGCATGTAAAGACACTGGTGTTGCCAATGTCTGTCATTTGTTGCAGATTATCATTTTGTAATCTGTGCCTTAAATTTGCACAACAGCTTCTTCCTAAAAATTCAGTAATCATATATATTTTTTTATCCTTCAGATTAGGGATACTAGTACATATAAAATCTAAACAACTATAAGGGCAGGTGTCACAGTTTATGCACTGCTTGTATAACCATAGTGCTGCTGATTACAGCAATATTTGGAGTGGAACCCCTGTGCACCCTTGAATGACTTATAGCAGATTTCCGAAGAAGGCTGAGTAGAAGGGAAAATTGTAATTGTGAAAGTCAAGGCATCGACAGCTCCGGAGACTCTGTCCTTCAATCACTCCACAAG